AGTACCTGAAGGGAGAGTACAACAAGGTTGCAGACGCGCTATCCCGTAGAGCAGACTACCTAGGTGCGCTAGTTTATGAATTTGGCGTATCTAATGAAGTAACTCAATCATTGGTGGGAGCCTATCAGGAAGACCCTGTCACGATGGACATCATCCGCAAACTTCAGGCAAAAGACAAGGCCACGGAAAGTGAGTTTGTGATGGTGGATGGGTTAATCTAGCTTGAGAAGGCCGGAGTAAAGAGATTGGTAGTTCCATCTAGTGAACAGTTGCGTAGTTTATTTTTAGGCGAATGTCATGACGCAACTGGGCATTTTGGCTACAAAAAGACGAGTGCTAACTTAGTACAGCGATTTTGGTGGCCCAGAATGTTAGATGACGCAAAGAAGTATGTTGAGACCTGTCAGGTCTGTCAGCGGGACAAGCCGCGAACTCAAGCACCGCTTGGGTTATTGAAGCCTTTACCTATTCCTGATGGTCCAGGATTGAGTGTTTCCATGGATTTCATGGACACTCTTGTGACCAGCAAGAGTGGTAAGAGGCACATTTTCGTCATCATTGACCGATTCACCAAGTACGCTAGACTAATACCAATGCCAGAGACAGCCAGGACAGAATACGTCATCAAGTTGTTCAAGGACAACTGGGTAAGGGACTTTGGTTTACCAAAGACCATCATTAGTGACCGAGACGTCCGATTCACCAGTGAGCTGTGGCAGAAGACTGCAGAACAGATGGGCAGTCAACTTCAAATGACTTCAGGGAATCATCCCGAAGCCAACGGACAGGCCGAACAAATGAATAGAGTTGTACAACACTTGCTGAGGCATTACATCAAGCCCAACCAGGATGATTTGGAGGAGCAGTTACCTCTCATCGCCAGCCTGTACGACAATGCTATACATAGCAGTACCGACGTTAGTCCTAACCAACTGCACTTAGGATGAAAGCCTAGATCAGCGTTAGACTTCCTCCTACCTGAAAACCGACCTGCTGCAACTCCAGGCACACTTGAATACGGTGTGCAATATGAGAAATTGTTGCAAGATGTTGTCGAATAGATGAAGAAGGCTCAACAAGCCATGATCGCTTATGAGAATCAACATCGCAGACAGTCCACATTTCAGGTAGGGGAACGTGTCTAGGTCAAGGCCAGTGAGTTAGGACAGGAATTCGGAATATCTCGCAAAAAAATGCCTCAGTACTTTGGTCCCTGGGAAGTCTTGGATGTAGTGGGAGATGAAATGGATGGTCCTACGTACGTCATTCGTGTCCCTGGACACCTACGCACTCACCCAGTCTTTCATGCCTCAAAGCTTGCACCTTTCGCTGAGACTGATCAATTCCCTTCCAGGAGATCAATGCTGCCCCCAACCATGGATGGACAAGTCGACATCGACGATATTGTGGATCACAGGGATATGCATGTTCCGAAGCCGCTGGGTCGAGGAAGACCTCCTAAACCCAAGAGGGAGTACCGGATCAGATTCAGGCATCATACGGATCCGAAAGAAGATCGGTGGTTTACCCGGGAGGAACTGATGGAAACAGCTCCTCAGGTGGTGGCAGATTATGAACGGAAGCTAAAAAGGGAAGGCACCTGCGAAGTAAGCATCTCAGCGGACTTTCGAAGCTAAGGGGGATGGAATGTGAGGAWTGAGCCCTCAAGTAGGGGCCTTGCCATGATGTACATGTTCTGGGCTAAGGCCCCAGCAAGCCTMGTGCCCGCCCTAAGTGAAGGCGGGCCAGCAAATCAACAAGAGCCCTCTGTGCCAACATTTCACGAAGTGGGGTYCATACAGTTGCAGCACGCCAGTTGGTTGGAGTGCACCGAGTCTCGGATTTCAGCAAAAGCTGAAAGCCCAGGGCCTCTGAGTTAGTTAGGCCCTGGGCACTCGAACGTGAGGCCGACAATGCATGCTGGGTAGAGAGGCCGAAAACGCCAAAAGGAAATCGGCCCACTATCTAAATCTGGCCTCAGGCCTTGATGAAAGAGGCGCAACTGCATTGCCCTGGGGCCCAACTGTATCGAGTTGGCTTCAGCCTCTGGGTCCCGGTCACAGGCTGAAGGGAGGCCGCCCACACGCTGCATTGGCATATAGGCAAGCAGGGCGAGGGAGCAGGGATCTTGGCCAATGCTGGCATTGCGGGCAAGCTGCGCGGATGCATGTGTGCTGCGCTATGCATGAGCAGCGCTGCGCTGAGGTGAAGCAGGCAAGCGCTAGGCGGTAGGGCGCTGCCTGCATGCAAGGCACCGGCGGCCATAGCCGGGCCGCACGAGGGTGCAGTGAGGGTGTAGGGCGAAGGTGGTCTTCGGAGGTGAAGGGCGCTGTGTGGGTAACAAGGGAGAGTGTGGGGAAGAGGACACGTACCTGGTGATGGTGGAGGTCGGCATTGGTGTTGACATCATCACTCGCTGGTAGTCAGGTTGTCTGGTTGCTTTCATTGCTGTAGTTGTAGGATAGGCTGTAGAGTAGATAGGGCGCCTGGCGCCATTCACAGGAGAGAGCTACATTTGGGTTATACTGTTGGTGTTGCCCTGTTGGGCATGGACATTGACTCACGATTCTTCTGTATCATTCTCAATTGGATGGTTACTCGGTTCCATTGTACTATCTGCTTTGGCTTTGAATGCTTGGACTTTAGTGTGATATTGCATTCTGGATTTCTGTGCTTCGTCCATACTCATGTTCCTTGCACATTTATATTATAAATATTAAATTATTAATAAAAATGAAATAGTATTATAAATTTATAATAATAATAATAAGATAACAACAACAACAACAACAGGAGGCAAAATCTCAAACTCCCAGAACTTTATCTCACCCACTTCCTCTCAGCAGCTTCCCTTTTCTCTATTGGCCTTCCATTCTGAGTTTTAACCCTTGCAAGTACCTCTGATTGGCACCAACATTGTGCTGTTTTTTATCATTTCAGTTCCTGATTTTGCACACATGCAATCTCTATGGCTTTTTAATTTTGGATCTCTTTCCCTTGTTCTTTGCTTAATCTTTCGTTCACTTGCTTGCTTCTCAGACAAATCACTCCACCAACTAAGAACGGCCATGCACCACCACCCATAGAATCAAGAAAGAGCTCTCAATCTGTCAATCCTTGCTATGTCTGGACCTGGTGAGTTTCCCCGTGTTGAGTCAAATTAAGCCGCAGGCTCCACGCCTGGTGGTGCCTTTGCTTCTTTAACCTTTGTGCGTGCATGCGTCACCCGATTATCCATCTTCCTGTGATTGCATCTATTGCTAGGCTGACCGTTCACACATCTCACAATAAAAAAATGTTTACCATGTTCAGGCTGCAGATGAGCTTCGACTGGCAATTGGCCGGCTAGAGGAAAAAGTAAGGCAGCTCCGGGCTGTGCAGAAGCGATTGCTTCTCCGCTTCACAGATCAGAGTCCAACTCATCTTCAGCACTTGAACATCCTATTCCAGGTAATCGCAGGCAGAAAGGTCTCAATCTGTTCCTAAATTCCTAATTGACCCCACCCACATGGTCTTAGATGATTGAACATTGTCGATCGCATTGCCCCTTTTGACTACATTGCAACTAAGTTGGACCCTGCCTGTCGGATGCATTCAAGTTCCTACCGCTCGCCGTCACTCCGCCCGTCCCTGGGCACGTTGACCCTGTTCGTCGCCGCAGCCTTCGCGCTTAGCTCGCACAGCATTGCAGCTGAGATCAAAGAGGAGGGCTGCACGAATTTATAGCGAGGAAGGCGACGGGGCACCAGTGTGTAATGTGGGGGAGTAAAGGGCGGTAGATGAGAAGAAGAGAAGAAAGGTTCGGTGACGAAGAGGGAGAAGGCCGGATGATCGAAAATTTTGCAGAATCCAGGTGGCTGTTCAAGCCGCTCGCGTAAGTCCGCTCTTACGGCTTAATCCGACCAACTTGACCGGCGACCAATCATCTTGGCCAGAAGGGAGGGCAGAAAGATGAAGAGATACACCTAGATGAAGCAACGAACAAGAAGAGAAGTTGGCACGCATGCCAAAGCGCGAAGCCAGCTTGCGTAAGCATGCAAGAATTTGAAAACAGCTGCACGCACGGGTGCTTAAAGATAAAATTAAAATGCACTGACAAGCGAAATTATAACCGTTTCCTTGAACGTTTCCGCATGGACGCTAATCGGCCGTGCAAGGCTAGAATTGCGAAAAAGACAAGGACATCCCCCGGAAAATGCATGCAATGACACCCAAACATTTTGAATCCAAGTCCCGTTTGTTCCCTTTTTGCTCGTCAAGGTCCGTGCACACGGCTTACTTCGGGGTCAACCCGAAGGGTATGTGAAGCCGCTCAGTACGGATCTTGGCTTATCACAGGCTAGACAAGGATTGGATGAATCCAGGTCAATGGTCCCACTGTTTGTCTTCACTGACATAAAACAAGAAATAATTGTGTTGTTTCTCGCATCTGCTGACTCGTATCTTGGTTAAGTCGTCCTGCTGGCATCTTGTGGTTCTGGATGTTCAGTAATCTCCACTCTGTATGCCAAGTCAGAATTGTGCCGGTCCTTCCACCCGAGTCTGTGTCAATGGTGACAATGGAGATTGGCCACCTTGCCTCTTATCAGCCAGACTCTCTTGACTTTGGCCAGAACTTCCTGCTGTGTGTGATTGTTTTGTATTAGGAGCTTGAGTTTTTACCATGGTTGTTAATTGGACGTCCGGATCAGGATCCCGACGGTCCAGTCTGGATGTCTGGATCCGGTGTTGGGTTTGGGGGGTCCGGTTGTGCCCCATTTCTTTTCTTTTTTCTTTTTTTTTTATAAAGAATAGGGCCTCATGGTCCTAGCTCCTTCTATTCTGGGGAGCATCAGTCCGGTTCCTATTCCCCCGGCAAGTCAAAACATACAATACATTGAGAAACAACGCACGCTTCCTTCCGTCTGGCCGAAGGACCCCTGAGCAGCATTGATTACTCCACTTTAGCGGAGGATTGACTGTCAGCTTGCCGTGCAACACTCTTCCTCTCAGAACTTGAGCTCGGATCTGTCAAATAATTCTACTCTTTCTAGAAGGATGTTGCCCCTTTTTGGATCAATGTGGGAGAATCCTCTTAGCCAACCTGTTTCTGAGATGCCGCCCTCTCATTCCCATCCCAGCCCTAACCTCCTTTCTTCCCATGGGTTCTCCTTGATTCTGTACGCCTGCTCCCTCATTTCCTCAATTCTGCCGGCACATCCTTTACGTCCCCTTAGCCATTAACTCTCCCCTTTCCTTTTGAGGTTTGCTAAAAAACTAAACCCTCAGACCCTTTTCTTGACCAAGAGTAAAACTTAAAAGGGTTCAATTCCCCTGCTTCCCTCCTTCCTCTGCGTACTTTCCTGGCCCCTACTAACATCCCCCAATTACAGTGATCAAAGGTCGATGTTTTTCTATTAAAGTTCTGGTTCGGGGTTGCTTTGTCCGTTCGCTGAGTTCTGTTGTCCAATACTTCTTCCCGAACTGGAGTTGTGCCATTCCTTCCAACAGATGCGGTCGTCTTGCCCCATTTCTAGAAAATTCTATTAAAAAAAATTGGGGCCCCCAGGCGTTTTTCCAGTGCCTGGTGGACCCCCGAAAATTGTTGGCGCAGTTTTTGGTAGACTGTTGGGCCAAACGGACCGGCCCTGAAGGGCCTGTACTTGCAATCTTGGGTGAGCTTCAGCGGGCCAAGGAGAACTGGTTGTGTGTGTGTGTGTGTGTGTGTGTGTGTGTGTGTGTGTGTGTGTGAGTGTTCAAAATAAGTCGGATAATACAACTACAGCAGCGTGTCTTTTTTTTTTGGTAATTAATTAGTTAATTAATTATTATTATTCGGACATCCGGACCTGTTCATTCATAACCGGACTGTCGGGGTCCGTACGTCCGGTTGTCCGGATCGGTGTCCGGATTACCAGACGTCCGGATTAATTCAGACACGGGTCCGTGCCCGGTGTCCAGTGTCTGGATGTCCGGGTCCGGGGCAAGCATGGTCTTTACCCTCGACAAAGAATTTCAGCCTCAATTAGTGCCTTCGTTGAAACCCATACTCTGTCATGTGGACTGTTGGACTTGTCCAAGGTTCTGCTGCATCTTTCCTTCCATATGATCCAGTGCGTCACCTTGTGTATCATACCAAAGCAAATGCATTCCAGTTTGCCAAATTGAGAGGGGGTGTTAGTCCACAGGAGGAGTTGGATGGGGTGTCTCGAGCCACGAGGGTAAGGCTGCCTCATCTTGGGGGAGTGTGGGTGGTAGGTGGAGTTGAATAGTTTGGGTTGCTTAATGGGTAGTATCGGCCAATCTTCGGGCTAATAAAGACATTAAGAAAATCCACATTACGCGAATCCCGGAGGAAGCAGTCCTGATATGCTCGCTGTTCGCAGATGACCTCACCATCATAGTGGATGCCACGCAAGAAAATATGACGGAGATTCGGAGTTTAATGGATAAATTTGCCCAGGTTTCCGATATAGTGGTAAACTGGGTAGCAAAACCCAGGGCTGGTGGATCCACTACCAAGGGGGCCGTCCACCAGATTCCCCCTTTGCAGGCCCCCGTTCGGGTGTTGGGGGTGTCATTGACTGCCCAGGGCCGTCCCCCATCAAATGACGAATGGATCTCGGCTCCTGCCTTGGCTAAGCTGGCCAACTGGCGCAACAAGCATACCTCTATCTTTGGCGGAGCGCTGACCATTAACGTTGTAGTGTTTGCTGCGTTATGGTACAAGTCGTTACTTTGGCCCTTACGTAAGACCGCCTCCCGGTCGCTTAGGTCCAGGGTGGCAGCCTTCCTATGGAGAGGAGACGATGAAAGAGCAAATGTCATAAGTAGGGTGGCATAGGAGTCGGTCATTCAACCAAAATGGGCAGGGGGCTTGGGTATCATCGACCCCACGACACAAGTTCAGGCCCTCCGCCTAAAAATGGCTAAAGACGCTGATTTTCTCCTTCGACAACCCTTGGCGGGCTCTTGCCTTGGAGCACATCGCCCGTCTGGCCCCACCGACCCAATCAAAGGTTAACCCACTCACATGGTTAGAGGACCGCTACTGGTCAATCCCGCGCAAGATCCACGGCCAAGCTGCAGACCAATTTTGGCCATCAGTATTGAAAATCTGGCGCAGACTCCCCTCCCCCCGAGAAACAGGTGTTGGAGCGCTGGGAGGAAGTGTACCGACAACCTCTGTTTGGTAATTGCTGGATTACACCCCATCACGGGCAGATCATGAATAGCTCAGCAGCCCCATGGAAAGGATGGGTGAAGAATGGGATACTATGTGTCAGGCATCTATGGGACCAGAGGAAGAAGGATTGGAAAACGAAGTCGCATCGTAGGTAGAAATACCACCTGGGGTAATCCAAGTAGGCAGAGTCTGTCCGATATCCGGCAGGTGCGAGTCTATGCTTGTCTCATGGATTAGGACCACTTGGCTGGTTGGTGTATCTAGGCAGTGTATAGACATTGGGGTACTCTCATAGCCCTGTCATCAGGGTCCTCGGGGCCCACCAGAGACCAAGCATGGGTTGGCTATCAGATGGGTATAGGGGCTGGAGGGACTAGTAGAGAGGACACTGATAAAGCGCAGCTCGGTTAAGGATTAGTACTGAGCCTGTCTCCTGATTAGTAGGTAGGATAGGTAGGTTAGGGGGGGGTGTACTGTACATTAATAGGATGGAGGTGGGCCCTCTACGCCTGACCAAGGGGGGATCAGGCAGGAATCTGCTAAGTCAATGGCTGGGGGACAAAACTGCATAGAGTGGGCCCGTGATACATGGAGGTTGGATCTGTAGGGACAGAATCCGATCTCTGGTGGCAAGCTGGTAGGTGTCGAAGGGACACGACTTGCGGGCTCTAAGCCCTTAGAGGTCTCCGTCTAGGAAGGTCCAGAGGGCCAAGCGGGTCATTCCGAACTTCGCGTGACTGAACCCCGGAGAGCACTCCCGCTCCTGATACCCTGCCTCTACAACAACCTGGGCGTTTATAAA